TCGACTATTTTTTTAACTCGGCTACGCCTCGTCGAAAAAATCAGATCTCGATCACCAAAGTAGCATTTCGCGCTCTAGATACAAAAATAACTATTTCAGTAGGTTTTGAAATGTTTCAGTAGATCGATAGATGCAATATGCAAATCAGGAGATCAACTGAAAATTCACTAGAACTGGCAACCTTGCACAGCAAGAAAAGTACGTAAAATGTGATTTTTTTAAGAGGTCGACGAAATAACAATGTTTGGCGTCTTGCGCTTAGTATATTTTGGCAAATATGTGGAATACTCAATCAATAAAGTTAGTTTCTTCATAACACTTATTCGTTCAATATTTGAATTGAAATTCGATAATCATTTCTATTATCAAAGCAAAGGAACCTAACCAGACCAAATTGATAACATTTTTTTATGTGTCGATATCATGATATTCATACACAGTGAATTGTTTGTAAAAAACGAATTTCATCGCAATACCGCTCGTTAAATCGAGAGGAACTCGATGATCATTATATACGGTTCTGTTTCTGGCGGCTGTAAAACACCTCTCGAGAATCTAAAAGGGCGTGAAACGAGCACAAAAACATATTCGTAAATGGAAAACAAGGCTCTGTATTAAACGATTAATTTTTGATCTATGTTGTTGAGACAAATTAATTTGGGAGAACAACAATTTCCTTTTCGTCTTTTGTTCTCCAGTTATTCATTCATTCAATCGTGTCTGTCTCATTTATACACCCAATTTTGAATTCAATAGTGCCAATGTAATAGTGATTCACGTAACAAGTGCGGAAACTATACTGTTTTTTTCTCTGTAAGGCGAGAGAAGTTTTTATTTATGTAGTAAGGACAAAAAAAATCTATTAATGTGTTATTTATTTTGTTTGTCGACCTCAAACTCATATCCACAACACGGTCCTATTCACACGTGGAATCTATCGGATTTCGTGAATAATTAATTTGATATTATTACACTGTTTCGAATGAAGAGATGACTACAATTGCTAATATTCATTGAATATTCTACATGATTTATTTATTTATTTATTTATTTATTTATTTATTTATTTATTTATTTATTTATTTATTTATTTATTTATTTATTTATTTATTTATTTATTTATTTATTTATTTATTTATTTATTTATTTATTTATTTATTTATTTATTTATTTATTTATTTATTTATTTATTCATTCATTCATTCATTCATTCATTCATTCATTTATTTATTTATTTATTTATTTATTTATTTATTTATTTATTTATTTATTTATTTATTTATTTATTTATTTATTTATTTATTTATTTATTTATTTATTTATTTATTTATTTATTTATTTATTTATTTATTTATTTATTTATTTATTTATTTATTTATTTATTTATTTATTTATTTATTTATTTATTTATTTATTTATTTATTTATTTATTTATTTATTTATTTATTTATTTATTTATTTATTTATTTATTTATTTATTTATTTATTTATTTATTTATTTATTTATTTATTGAATATACATCCAGCAGGCCTAAGCCCAATTATAGGAGTACTTAATATAGATTACAACATGTGGTTGAAAAGATAATAATAATCATAGTAACAATAAAGTAGTTGAAATAATAATAATATAATTAATAATAATAATAATAATAATAATGAAGATAATAATAATAATCATGGAAAATATAATGAAAGTAATTAATGATACCTTCTTTAGTTAGTCAGAGAGTAAATTGGAAATGGTTTGTCTGAATTGATTTTGAGTGAGGAAGAAAATATCAACTGTCGCAAGTTTATTACAATTCCTGCACATTTAGTTTATTGGAGAATGAAATTTATGTTGTGTATTTGGAGTGTTGAGGTGGAAAGTATTATGATACCGGGAGGCTAGTCGTGGTATGTTGAAATCAATTAGTGAAAGTAATGTCGCAGAATCTATGGAATTATGAATAATTTTATATATGAATAATAGGTCACCTATATCTCTTCTCTTTTTCAGTGATTGGAACTTGAATTCGTTCAGAAGGAGTTCATAACTATAATTTCTTTCAGGGTAGCGTTTGTATTTTTTGTAGAAAAGGTATTTTGAAAACTTTGATACTGAAAATGCATATCTTTCGGGCCATAGGCCAGAGAATTAAGTGGTACTTTCTGAAAGGAAAATCGTACGGAAATAATTGTTATATAACATGATAATTAGAATGAAATCATTCCAAGTATTTAAACGAGTTCCAGGTAATGTAAATTGTAAATGCACTCAATTGTTTTATTCTGTAATTTCATTAATGGTTTTAAATGTGATATACTTGTGCTTCCTTCCTCAAATTGATATTAAATAGGTATAGTAATTTTAAGTAAATCAGACAGAAATATATATTCTTCAAATATCTATGAGGAATGATATCTCGAATTTTCTATAAAATGCCAGTAATTGGATTTAGCTTTTTCCTCAGGTGATCTATATGTTCAGTCTACGATAATTGTTCATCAATATGAAGACCTAAGAATTCTGTAACATCCAAATAAGTAGTTTATGGTTTTCTGGTCGAAAAATATTGTTGTTCTCGATATATCAGTTTTTCTATCTGAAATATACATATACGTAGATTTGTCACAGTTAAGAGTCAGCTTATGATCTTGTAGCCAAGATGATATCATTTTCAAGTCAATTTTTATATCATCAACTACATCATTGAATCCTTTAGTGAATATACAGTGTGACCCATTTAGGATGGAAGCACCCTTATAAAACTTACATTTTTCAACCGATTGGAATGATTTTTTTTTTTGTTAGGTAGATATTCAAAAAGTCTATTAGGACACCAAATATCATGAATAAATCTCCATTTCCAGGGCCAACTAATCTGATTTTTCAAGGTCAATAATCTAAAAAAATTACTAGCGATTTTTTTAGAAAGAATCTGACTACACCACTGGATTTGTGACATTTTCAAATGGGTAACATGTAAATTACGTTGAAATGCGTCAATCAATAAAAAAGTTATAAAGGAATGAAATTTGAAAAATATGCCGTTTAATCAACCCATCAATTTTTATTACTGAACAGATTTCGATGAAACTGTGATCAGTAATATTTCAAGACATCCTGAATCCAGTGGAGTATACAGAATTTTCATAAAATTCCTGAACATGAATTGGTGGGTTGATTAAACGGCATATTTTTCAAATTTCATTCCTTTATAACTTTTTTATTGATTGACGCATTTCAACGTTATTTACAAGTTACCCATTTGGAAATGTCACAAATTCAGTGGTGTAGTCAGATTTTTTCTAAAAAAATCGCTAGTAATTTTTTTAGATTATTGACCTTGAAAAATCAGATTAGTTGGCCCTGGAAATGGAGATTTATTCATGATATTTGGTGTCCTAATAGACTTTTTGAATATCTACCTAACAAAAAAAAATCATTCCAATCGGTTGAAAAATGTAAGTTTTATAAGGGTGCTTCCATCTTAAATGAGTCACACTGTATATATTATTGTAGTATCATCTGCAAATAACTTCAAATCTCGTTTCAGTTTCAAAGATGATATTGAATTAATGTGAATTAAGAATAAAATTGGACCTACAACGGAACCTTGTGGTACACCACAGTTGATCTCCCTTATGGACCTACAAATATTATTGACTTCAACATACTGCTTTCTATTCTCCAGATAATTTTTCAACCAATCAAATATTTTTCCTCTGATACCTAATGAATATATTTCACTCAGTAAAATATCATGATTTACAGTATCGAAAGCTTTACATAAATCTAAAGACAAGAGACCACATTCATAATTTTGATCAATTTTAAACTGAATATCCGAAATTACATCCATAACTGCTACCTCAATGTCTTTCGATCGGCATAATCCATATTGACCACTGTATAGTAGACCATTCTTTCAAGAAAATGAAGAAAACGCTTATTCATAATGTTTTCAATAATTTTTTAGAGGATCGGGAGAACTGAAATCGATCTGTAGTTATTGAGGTCATGTCTTTTTCCAGTTTCATGTATCGATATGACTTTGGCAATTCTCATTTTATCTGGTACAATTCCAGTTTTGAAAGATCTACACCTTTTTCAATTGTAATTCAGAAAGTGTAAGTTGTAATTCAGATTAGTAAAATGTAAGTCAGAAAGTGTAATTTGTAATTCAGAATAATTAATTGTAATTCAGAAAGCGTCAATTGTAATTCAGATTAGTCAATTGTAATTCAGAATGCATAACATGTAATTCAGATTAGTGAAATGTAATTCAGAAAGTGTAACTTGTAATTCAGAATAGTCAATTGTAATTCATATAGCGTAATTTGTAATTCAGAAAGTATCACTTGTAATTCATAAATACTATGGACTCAAATAAGGGAAGGGAATATGTAGAAATCAACGAATGGTTTATTGTGTGGTGAACATCAATATTTTATATTTATCGACCAACGGGCATATCTTGAAATGCCAAGGCTGCAGCATGGTGAATGGTGGTGTGTTGTGCAGCCCTAGCACATAGATAAACAAGTCGTTGTTCTCCAACACCCGGACCTCAAGGAGAATGGATGCATACCGGTTGTTCCTAGTTTCTGAATCATAAGTGATACTTTCTGAATTACAAGTTATGCTTTCTGAATTACAAGTTATGCTTTCTGAATTACAATTGACGGTTTCTGAATTACATTTCACTATTCTGAATTACAAGATACACTTTCTGAATTACATTCCACTAATCTGAATTACATATAACGCTTTCTGAAATACAATTAACTAATCTGAATTTCAAGTTATACTTTCTGAATTACAATTAACTATTCTGAATTACAACTTATACTTTCTGATTTACATCTTATACTTTCTGAATTACAATTGAAAAAGGTGTAGTAACTTTTACAATTTCAGCAGTTATTCCGTCAAATCCACAAGATTCCCGTACATCTAAGTCATCAATTATTTCTTCAACTATCATGAGTCTCTCATCCAATATCATACTCACTTGTTGTATAGGACAATGTCCGGTCTCCAGATGTGATCAGATGGTACATGGAGCATCTCCACACCGCCATAGTCTTTTGGGTCCCATTTGAGCTTATAGTCATACCAGGCCTGGAAATACAAAACGAAAAAGTGTTCCTAGAGGAATAGACTGAAACGGAATAATGAGAAATTATTATATGAGTGTCGTGGGAGTGTAATGGGCGGGAAGTTTCGGTCTCGTGATTGTATAATTGTTAGTTGCCAATTGTACAGGGTGATTGACTATGGATTTCTCGACTTCAACAGCTGATATCTCGAAAACGAAAAAAGATATTTGAAATTTGGAAAAATTTACTTGAATTAGATGTCATTTCCTTCTGAAAAATGTGTTCTCTGCTTGATTTTATCATTTCATATACGGGGTATGTGAAAAAAATTTTTTTTTTCAAATGGAACCCCCTGTATATTATCGCATATTTCGAAAGAGCTATCTTTCCTGATTTCAATGATATATTCTTTTTATATATTCTATCGAGTGCTTGACGAAATATCAGCAAAATTAAATATTAATATTTGGTCCAAGTTAGCTATGGTTGAAATAGAATGAGATGATGAATAAGTGAATTGACATTTGGTCAACATTTCAGTGACATAAGTGCCCAAAATTTCAACAATTTTCTCACGATGCCATATACACTGGAACAAAGAAGAGATATTTTGGAGTGCTATTTTTCAGTTAATAAAAATCTTGCTGAAACACTTCATAAGTTTATGAGGAGTTATCCAGGCAGGAGATTACCAAGTAAGAATTATGTAAAGTATTTGGCTGCTAAATTTGACAGAACTTCCAGTTTGTCGAATATCAAGAGAATAGTTTGAAGGCAAGACAACGAAGACGAGGAACTTCTTGTAATCCAGTATTTTGTCGAGGATCCTTCACGGTCAATAAGAAATGCAGTGAGAGAGTTTGGTTTTAGCTATTATTTTGTTCAACATACCTTAAGGAAATATAAATATAGGGATTTCAGAATCAGACCATGCCACAAACTCAATCATCATGATAATGAGAAGCGGATGGAATTTTGTGTTGTCATATCTGAAAGATTAAATATAAGTAAGTATAAGTGTAAGTGTTTCAGCAAGATTTTTATTAACTGAGAAATAGCACTCCAAAATATCTCTTCTTTGTTCCAGTGGACATGGCATCGTGAGAAAATTTTCGAAATTATGTCACTGGAATGTTGGCCGAATGTCAATTCACTTATTCATTATCTCATTCTATTTCAACCATATCTAACTTGGACCAAATATTGATATTTAATTTTGCTGATATTTCGTCAAGCCCTCGATAGAATATATGAAAAGTATATATCCTCGGAATCAGGAAAGATAGTTCTTTCGAAATATGCGATAATATACAGGGGGTTCCATTTGAAAAAAAAAATTTTTTTTACGAACCCTGTATATGAAATGATAAAATCAAGCAGAGAACAAATTTTCTAGAAGAAAATGACATCTCATTCAAGCACCTCTCTCCAAATTTCGAATATCTTTTTTCGTTTTCGAGATATCAGCTGTTGAAGTCGAGAAATCCATAGTCAATCACCCTGTACATTGGATTTTTTCTAGCTCTGCTACTAAACTTAACAGTATTCTGCAAAGTACTGCTCTATTCGGTAGACAGTGAGTTTCTTGAGTACGTTTGGAAAAATCGAGTGGAAATGGAAATAAATACAAATATTCCAAATCCCTAGTGAGCTCAACATATTATTCTATCGCATAACAGCAATATAAAAAATGTATGTATCAAAATAAAGGACCCCGCACGAAAACACGGGAAATTTGCTCTCGGTCGAATTGACTATGTTGTTGTGGGATGGCTCATTAGAAAAATATGTGAGTTTGAAAAGTTTTGTATGTTTAGTTTCTGAGATCAAATGGAACACCCCATATATCTCAACATATCTGAATTCTCATTCCTTTAGGCTAATTATCGGTTTTTTATTTTTGAAAATCCGACAAGGCGTTGCCAAGTTATACCAGTATTTCATGAAATGCAGAATTTTTTTTTATACCTAGACAAACCCATTATTCGTACTACTAAGAATTTATGGAATCATTCAAGACTGTTGGTAGTCGGTGGCATATTCTATCATATGAAATACTAATCTTCTTCGAAAGTTATACAAGGTGGTCAGAAGTATTATATATATATATTATATTTTCAGGAAATTCAAACTTTCTTCACATCAATTTAACAAATAGTGCACCCTACAATATGTATGATTTTATATCCCATTGGTGGTTTGATTGCTTATGGTCAATAGATGTGGAAGAGAGATGTAAATTTCATCATCAGCAAATGCAAATAAAAAAATGCAGTAAACTATTTGAAAAATTGATGTGAAGAAAGTTTGAATTTCGTGAAAATCATATAATATTTCTGTCCACCCTGTATAACTTTCGAAGAAGATGAGTATTTCATATGATAGAATATGCTACCGACTACCAATACAGTCTTGAATAATTCCATAAATTCTCAGTAGTATGAATGATGGGTATGTCTAAAAAAATGTCTGCATTTCATGAAACACTAGTATAACTTGGCAACGCCTTGTCGGATTTTCAAAAATAAAGAACTGATAATTAGCCTAGAGAAATGAGAATTCAGATATGTTGAAATATATGGGGTGTTCCATTTGAAAAAATTGATGTTCGATTTTGTGAGCCTTTCTTGTGCCCCTCGTATAAAATTTAGTCATTCCTGAATTTAGCACTCATGATGCGATATGATGTGGAATTATAATATTCTGTAATATCCTATTGGTTCAGGAGATATTCAACTGTCCCACTGGTCTAGGGACACACTATATATAGTCCCACTATTTTCCGGCGTTCAATGAAATGAATATCATCAAATTATTGCACTTGGTGAGTTTTTCAGCTTAAGAGGTTATCATCTATCTCGGCCCGTACCCATACTCTAGTTTAAAAATGTCAACTTTGCCGACTGATGAGCGATGTGCCTTCTTTTAAACGTACAGGGTGGGCAAAATTGGGCGTTTTCACCGTCTATCTCAATAACTAGAGGAGTTATCGAAAAACCGATATACATGTTCCGGGTTCGATTTTGGAGAAACTTTGAATGGTACAATCAAGATTTCGATATCTTCATTCGTTTTAGAGATACAGGGGGAAATTGAAAATTTGCCGATTTCGATTTTATTTTCTGACTACTTTACGGTGAGAGGTATCAAAAAATTTCAAACGTATATTTATACAGTATGATGCGTGGAATCCATTGGCATCATCAGAAATTTTATACAGGGTGACGTTGAGAAAATACGGCAGCCAATTATGTTTTTTCTAATGGAACACCCCGTATATTTTGGCACAGTTGAATAGTCCCAGGCGTTCTCATTACAAATATATATATAACCCTACCTTTTCCTTCCACAATTTCAGATATATTCGCAAAAATATATTCAGTGTGTCACATTTCTCATGGTTGCACCCCCGTATCTTCTGTAAGAATGATTGATGGAAACATTAACAATCATAATATTTTGTGGCAGAATGCCTGAATATGATACTTTACCCATTATTTCTAGTATGCCTTGATATTTTTGCGTTCAAAGAGATAATAAATAAGATATATATTTGAAATTGAAACGGGAACTTTCCAGCTCTGCCAAAATATACGGGGTGTTCCATAAAAAAAATTGTTCTGTATCTGGAATTTGGACATCTTCTATAAGGCTATATTTTTCAACGCAACCTACTGATTTCCTAATTGAGTAAATTATTGGTCTTATTTCTGTATCTCAAATGTCTTGATAACAATGATATCAAAACGAATAATTCCCCATTTTATTTCTCACCAAATATCCATTTATCTGGAAATTTTCCACATTTGGTGAATATATACAGAGTGTCATTTTCAACCTCGATTCTGCCTGTTGATAGCATTATCCAGAAATATCGATGATTCCATAGCTGCTGGCGAGCAGTGTTATCATTGGAGATGATCCCACTTGGTCCATGACTCCATGAGTGTATCATTTGTATCTTTCTGACAGTTGCGAATTTTTGAATCCTACCTCAATTATTTTTACAGAAGATATACGGGGGTGTTACCATAAGAAATGTGACACACTGAATATATTTTTGCGAATATATCTGAAATTGTGGAAGGAAAAGGTAGGGTTATATATATATTTGTAATGAGAACGCCTGGGACTATTCAACTGTGCCAAAATATACGGGGTGTTCCATTAGAAAAAACATAATTGGCTGCCGTATCTTTTCAACGTCACCCTGTATAAAATTTCTGATGATGCCAATGGATTCCACGCATCATACTGTATAAATATACGTTTGAAATTTTTTGATACCTCTCACCGTAAAGTAGTCAGAAAATAAAATCGAAATCGGCAAATTTTCAATTTCCCCCTGTATCTCTAAAACGAATGAAGATATCGAAATCTTGATTGTGCCATTCGAGGTTTCTCCAAAATCGAACTCGGAACATGTATATCGGTTTTTCGATAACTCCTCTAGTTATTGAGATAGACGGTGAAAACGCCCAATTTTGCCCACCCTGTACCTATGGCGTTTTGAGAAAAAAACAATATTCAAAATACAGGGTGCATCCATTGAGAATCAAAATTTTCAAGGGCACCAACAAATTCAGAAATCGGTCAATAACTTCAGCCAATCAGAAGTTATACACGGTGGATTCTTGTAGAGAGCGACATCAGAATATCAATGTTGGAAACATGCTCATTGAAAATCCACCGACTTGTCAGGAGAAAAGCCATCGCCCCAATTTCCAAGAGACTCGCAAAGTTTCCTGCAAGATCGAATCGACTTAGAGGGCAGACACCCCCTTGCATCCCTATGAGGTGCGGGCTGTAATTTATCGCTCATGGAACCTGCGAGGGCAAGAAAAACTAATAAGCCCTTCTAAGTGCTTCGACATACTCTACAGCGGCGATAAGAGCTTTCCACGATCTAGCTAATGACGATCGGAGAACTCCACGACGAGGAAAAGGTTTACCTGTCGTTATTACAGTTTGGATGAAACCGAAAAGAACATTTTGGGTGATGTACAGGGAGGGCCAAATTGGTCA